TTTTTTTTTTTTTTTTTTTTTTTTTTCTAGGAGCATACCAATACGGGGGAAAGGACTATAAAGCATCAGCCTCTTCATCAGGCTCCAGCTTTAACGGATGCAAGAGGACAGTCGTGGAGGCTCTCAAGGTTAATGAATCAACGTGTACTCACGAGCAGTGCACTTTCGGTGGAGTTTGGAACGGTGGAGGAGGCGACGGGCAGAAGAATCTCTACGTTGCTTCCTTTTTCTTCGACAGGGCTGCTGAGGTGAGATTAGTTCACCTATGATATTGGACTTGCAGTCAGGGTGTTGAAATTATTTTGCTTGTTTTCGCATGAACCACTGATCAACCAGGTGTATGTAGGCTGGTTTTGCTGGCCCCAACAAGCCATTTGCTGAAGTTCGTCCTGTAGACTTCCGTGATGCAGCGAGGCAGGCATGCCAAATCAAACTCGAGGATGCTGGTACATATCCCAAGGTCAAGAAGGATAACCTCCCATACTTGTGTATGGATCTTGTGTATCAATACGCACTACTTGTAGATGGATTAGGTAGGTTGCATTCACATTCATGTTAATACTTATATCAGACGGTCGATACATATAGCAAACATCGTATAATTCGTATGCACCTGTGTTTGTATGCTTTGGTTTTGTGTAGGCCTAGATCCTTGGCAAAAGATCACATTGGTGAAGAAGGTTAAATATCAGAACTCCTTGGTTGAAGCAGCCTGGCCTCTAGGCAGCGCCATTGAAGCTGTATCGTCGTTAGCCTAAACACATCGTTCGGATGGATGAGTGTGCTCTTCTTGTTTGCCAGCTAGGCGTCGATTTATCCATTGGAGATGGAGATGGGAAAAGGTTAGATTCAGAATTTGAACTTTGGTTGGGTTGTTGGGAATAATTTGAATATAATGATAGAATCACAATTTCTGTGTATTAATTCATGTACTAAGCTAATTTTATACAAGTTGAGAGAGTCATTCTTTTAGCAAGTTACTTAATAACACACATGTTAGTTGTAAAACCAGGCATTTATGTCATACATTCGAACCTATATTTAGATTTGACTTTTTGTGGCATCCTATATAGTTGCTCTACCAAAACTTAGTCAACAATTGGGCCAGAGAAAACTATAATTCTATACATGACTTTGAATTTTCTCGAGCCGTACGGGGAGAAAACTTCTTATACGGTTCTGGGGGTATCGTTAATTTACATCTATCCCAATGAGCCGTTTATCGAATCATTGCAATTGATGTTCGAGCCTAAAGAGAAGGAAGAGATCTTCGTAAAGTGGGTTTTTATGATCCGATAAAGAATCAAACCTATTTAAATGTTCCTGCTATGCATTATAAGATCACAATTGAATAAATTGAGAAAGTTCAAATTGACATAACATTTAATCTATTAGTTCGAAAGCATATGGAGAGCAACAAAAGTCCACCGATCTAATAGTTCAAATTGACATAACATTTAATCTATTAGTAGGAGTTGAAACTACATTTAAAGTTAGATGGAGTTTGAAGTCCATATTGATTTAGAAGACTATAACCACACCAATCCATCCCGAACTTAGTGGTTAAACTCTACTGTGGTGATGATCTTGTGGAAAAATAGCTCGACGCCAGAATGATAAAAGACTTAACATCTCTAATTCTTGTTACTTTTCAATATTCAATATGAAAAAGTCGGTATTATTCAAATTTTCAAAGTACGATCATTTAGTTAATCCATAATGAATTATTTATGAAAATTTTATCCAAACTAATTATTTTTAGAATAAGTGGGAAAAAGAGAAAATTCAGAGGTTGCCTTTCGTTGGGCTTCTTCAAAGAATAAGAATAAATAAATAAAAATTCCGTTGCCAGGTGTCGTGTCAGTGGACCCCACGCGTTTTCCTTCCTCTTTTTTTTCTTTTTAAATATTCTTTTCAATCTTATTTATAAATCTTTTATGATCAAAACTTTTCGACCCTTTTCAATCAAAATTTAAAATTAATATATATATATAATTTAATTTTTTTTTATTATATAAAAAATTAATTTTCATTTTTATATAATTTTTAAATCATTAAGAAATTACGGAGTTTATTGTTCTATCGCTTCCTTTAATAATCTCGATCCAAGAAGCTACAAGCCTCTTTCAACGATGTTTCCATTTGAGCATGTCATTTATCTAATAAATATACTTTTTCTTATTTGATACCGAAAAATTTCACTCATGAAATTATCTCGAACACTCACCCTATTTTATCAAAGATTCCAACCACATCCCTAAAGTCTATAACATGGACTTGAACGTCATTTTACGAAGCCGCTTTATACCTTTTCAACGACGCGATATTTCTTATGAACTCGGATAGTATTCTCAATTCAAGGAATTTTATTTTTGTATATGAAGAATATTGTTTATAATCGTTTTTTTTAGTAATTCTAACCAGGATCCATTTACTTTCGTCCCAGTTTCCTAAATAAATTTAAAGATTATTATGTACTTGAAACCACGCGATGCAAAAAAATCTATTAAAATATTTTGATTTTTTTTCTCGTTACTGATCAGTTTTTTTATACATTTAAATAATTTGAATTACTCATCAGAGTTGATATGTTTTATTTTGAAGAGTCTACGTACTTCGTAAATATGTACATAGTTGTATTTAGAAGTGATAGCAGGGTTCCATAGTTGTCGTCTTGATTTTCTCCTACAGAGCTAGTTATTGTAGAGCCTCGAAAGTCAATGTCACTGTCATTCGTGTCGAAGGCACTGCTTGTTCTAGCACCTTTCCTAGTATTGGCTCTCTAACTAGGGAATCCCGGGTAAGGTCATTTGGACCTGTTTTCTTCCGCTCTACCCCAACACACATGTTGTGCCTGTTCCTTGAGATGTCATGCATACATTAGTTAGCTTAGGGTTATGCTATAATCTTATTTACTAAATATCACTTATAAACATCATGATACGAACGTTATCATTACATATGACGATGTAAAAACTATACAACTTTCCTCATTTGGTAACCACATACTCGGAGGTGACTAGACATTTTCTTTGATTTATAATCGCGTGTGTCGATTGTCGGTTGTCAGTCGCCGTAGTTGATCAATTTTTCAATTTTTTTTGGACATTACAACTCTGGACACGTTATTGGCTTAAACATCCAAAGGTCTTGAGAAGAGCACCATTGATGCTAGATATTCTGGCAAGTGACCAACACCACCCTGAATCTCGACATAGTGTATCCAAGCACCTCGAACCTAATTGACCCGATTCATATAATAATGAAATTTTACTGTATTTTTCACCGTTAATTTTTTTTTACCTAAATTTTCAAAACTTTTAATTTCACAACCAATTTTTTTTTTTTAACTACAGAACAATTTTATATTTACAATTTTTTTTTTTTGAATATTTACCAACCAAAATGTTATTTATGACAAATTCTATAATAAAATAATAATATATTAAAAATATTAATTATCCTTATTTTAACTACTTTAATTGTAATTAATTTAATAATTGTAATGTCATAATTTAAAATATGCAGCTTGATTAGACTGATAGATACCATATATTAAATCAATTAATCAGAAGATTAACATTAATTATTTTATTTGTGACAAAATCATTTGAAATTTAACATTAATTATATAATTTATTTATTTTTGTTATTTTTTCTCGAATGAGTCTTGAATTATTTAAAAGATATTTTTCAAATAATATATTTAAATTAAATTATAAATCTTAATTAAATGTCTGAAAATAAATAGATAAATATTTTATAAAATAATATTAAGTCTAACCCAACCTAACCCAAATTAATCCTAAAAAATATATTATTTGTTTATTTAATTATTATGTTAATTACACTTATATATCAAAATTACTGTTAAATTGAACTTTCTAAATATTATTATTTTATTAACTATTAACTTACAAACTAAACATTAATTAATTATTTTTATTTAATGGAATATGAATAAATGATTGTGTTTATTATTTTATTTTTTTATTCAATAATAATCGTGTATTAGTTACTCATATATCAATTACACGAGTTTGTATTACTCATGTACATAATACACGAGTTAGATCTGGTACTCGTGACCACGTACACGTATTTTATGATCCTCAACAAAACCCTATAACGTTCCTTTCTTCCTTCATGTTGTCATCGACCTCCTTTTTTTCATTTTATTCTTTTGTGACGTCCGAATAAAGAAGACTGTACATGAATGAACTGAGACCACATCTGAGTGAAAATAGTCTGAAGGATATGATGGTTAAGAAATGGTTAAAAGAATTGAAAGTTACTATTTATATCAATAAAGTACTAGTTTATTTTGCAGCTCAATCATAGAAATTCAAAAGTTTAGCGTGTTTAGCTTGGAGCATTATAATGTTGGGTGACATCCTGAAAAATTTCCCGAAAAGCATGCCCGTAAAAATAGTTTACACTCCTAAAAGCAATTTAAGACAAGTAGGTAATGTAGTCATGTCACGGGAGATACAGAATAATGTCAAGACAATCAAGTATTAAATTCAAATTTCAAATGGAATTTTGACCACGGGGCCTTACAAATGGTAGTAGAGTATGATCTCTCTTAGTAGTGGGCATGTGGTACCCGAGTAAAGAAGAGGTACACAAATAAACTGAGACCAAATCGAAATTTTCGATTTTTTCGAAAATTCAACCCGACCAGTAAAAAAAAAAAAAAAAAAAAAAACCCTAACCTAACCCAACCTAACATTTATAACTTGGGTTGAGTAATTGAGGTAGGTTCAGTTATCCGATCATAAAATTCACGCGGTAATAATTATAAATTTTGTAAGTAAGCTACAAGCTTTTTAAAAAAAAAACCATGAACACGATTTATGGCATGTGACATATGACTGACTCACATACGAACATCCGACAACCCGGAGCTACCCAAACCAATTACCATGTATACGATTTTCTTATTTATTATTATTATTATTTTTATTTGGACATTATAATTCATGAAATTAACCCCACTGAACTTCTATATATATAACCCTCTTCTTTCATTCATGAATATACCTTCATTCAGCATCTCTCTTTCTATCTCTCTCCGCCGTCTCTCCGCCTTCTCTCATGGAAGAGCCACCACCTCCGCCCGCCGTGGATTTGCCCCCCGGCTTCCGATTCCACCCCACTGACCTGGAGCTCATCGCTTTTTACCTGACAAAGAAGATCATCAACCCCGCCTTCTCCGCCGCCGCCATCGGCGAAGCTGACTTCAACAAATCCGAGCCTTGGGAACTGCCACGTGGGTCTCCTTTTTTTTTTTTCCTTTAAATTTCCCATAAAAAAAAATAATTTAAAAACTTATTATTTATTATTTTGCAGAGATGGCCAAGATGGGGGAGAAAGAATGGTACTTTTTCAGTCTAAGGGACCGGAAATATCCGACCGGAATGCGAACCAACCGGGCCACTCAGATCGGTTACTGGAAAGCCACTGGAAAAGACCGAGAGATTCTCAATGGAAAAACCGTTCTGGTCGGAATGAAGAAAACCTTGGTCTTTTACAAAGGAAGAGCTCCCCATGGTGAAAAAACCAATTGGGTCATGCATGAGTTCCGTCTCGAACCCAGGCTCCCTGACCTTCCAAGGGCCAATAAGGTAACAGATTTTATTTTATTATTATTTTTTTGGTTCAATTTTTGAAATTTTAATTTTTTTATTATTATTTAATTTACAGGATGATTGGGTTGTTTGTCGTGTTTTTCACAAGAACACTCCGGCAACGGCAAGAATTCCGACAACAATGTCTCAAATCCCTGACTTTTTCCCTTCATTCACACCTTTGATGAATCCAATGCCTGCTGATTTTCCCATCACCGCCGGGTTCGACATCGGTGAGCCGAAGTGGAAGCTGCCTGAACAATCTGAATATTACAACCCCATTGATACAACTGATAACCAGCTGCAGCTGCCTGCCGGGAAGCTTCCATTCCCG